AAAGGCAAAAGTCGGGCTCAACAAAGGGGTATTATGGCGATTGGAACTGAGTATAGAGATGTAGTAGATCGACAGTGGAGGAAAACTTACGAGGAATGCTCAATTGGTCAGTCCGGCCATTTGTAATGAGGTGTAGTACTCGTCTTGCGACGCTGAGCTCAAATCCGTTTTCGGTATCTGCGGAACGATTCTCTGAAAGAAGTTACGAGGGATTCTTCTCACTGTGGCTTTCTCACTATGGCGCCCTCTACATCCTCGCATCCCGCTTGCCTCGCTCAAGTTGAGCCGGTGAGGAGTTATGTGGGACTGGTGGTGCAGTGGATAGCACGTTTGCTTCATATTGGTGAGGTCAGATGTTCAAATCCTTGCGCATGGCAAACTTTTGCATTTTTCCAGGGCTCCTCATACGAACCCAAAATGTGTTTATATTTGGATATTTTGTCGATTTGCGTCCCCATACATCTGTTATACTATACATCTGTTTTGTTTTGATCATTTTGTGAGGGACTATCATAGTTGCTCGTATAGCTGGAATAACTTTTCGAAATATTGTTAATTTAAGAGCTTCTGTGTGTCAAAGTTCATCTTAACGAAGAACTGAAAAAAATGAGCACGAGAAGGAGATTCCAGAGTCTGCCCTCTCCAGATGTAAAAGGGGGACGCAAATCGACAAAATATCCAAATATAAACACATTTTGGGTTCGTATGAGGAGCCCTGAAAAAATGCAAAAGTTTGCCATGCGCAAGGATTTGAACATCTGACCTCACCAATATGAAGCAAACGTGCTATCCACTGCACCACCAGTCCCACAAGAACTCCTCACCGGCTCAACTTGAGCGAGGCAAGCGGGATGCGAGGATGTAGAGGGCGCCATAGTGAGAAAGCCACAGTGAGAAGAATCCCTCGTAACTTCTTTCAGAGAATCGTTCCGCAGATACCGAAAACGGATTTGAGCTCAGCGTCGCAAGACGAGTACAGCGGACTACACCTCATTACAAATGGCCGGACTGACCAATTGAGCATTCCTCGTAAGAAGAACTCATTCCCCGTCAAAGTGGCTACAGTCCACAACTTGAAGTCTGATTGAAGTGGTTATGGATTTGACGTGGCGGCCGCCGCACTTGACAGAAGTTGCGCGGATAAGCTGCTTCCAGCATGCTTTGCTGATATCCAGCGGAGTATGTTAGAAACAGCTTATCCACACGACTTCTATCAAGTGCGGCGACGGCCACGTCAAATCCGTAGACACGCCTAACCAGACTTCAAGATATGGACTGTAGATACCTTAATGACAGATAATGCACCAAAATTTTCGTTGGCTAAGTCTTAGTATGAACTTTCACTTTTCCTCAAAGAGATAGCGGTGGTGAACGACCAGTAGTTGGCACTTCTGTCCAGACCATGACAACGATTGGCTACTGCTGAGCAATTTTCTTTCCTCCTTCATTAGCTTTTTTAGGACCTCATTCGAACATCCCCAAAGTTTGAAGATTGTAGCTCCAAAACGGTGCCCATGTAATCGCCTTTTTCGGCCCTTAGCACCAGATCTTCAAACTTTTTGTCTTACTAAGATCCTCTAATTCGATTGAGCGGTCCTGCTACTGCAGCATTTGGCAATTGCTCTATGACCACCTCCACATAAGTTGAAAACTTTAGTGGTCTGGTCAACTTTCCCAAGCCAACTCTGGTATTAGTCGATGCGCTCTCCATACTTTTCCTGGGATCCAGGAGAACAGAACTTACGGAGCGGCCGCAACGAAGGCTACATAAGCCGTGATTTCGCACGGTTATTCATAAGAGGTTACGGGACGTAGAGATCTACCAACCTTGGAAGAGAAACTGAAGACAATCACAGAATTTGAGCTCAAAATGCGGTGGGTGTTTATGGGACACCCTGCATAGCTTACATCAACAGTTCGTGTTTCTATAGACCGCTGTGACGTTAGTACGCAATCTGGTGCATTCAATCCCCGCGGGAATAATTTATGGCGCAGAACCCTGTGAAGTTTGATCGCAATCGGTTGAAGCTTGGTATATGACCAACTTGTTGGACATGAGGGCTCAGCAATCCACAATGGGCGGGCTGCCTAGTACATAGCGAAGTGATGCCGAGATTTGAACTCATGATTTTTCAAGTTTCAATCATATGCGATCACTCTGCAGAATAGTAGAGATCAGGATAAATAATGAGGTAGAATATCTTTGTTTACTTGAAGGCACGACTAGCTTTGAACTAATAGCGTTGAAATGTGAACGCAGGCGTGTCTAATGGTACGTCTGTGAAGGCAGGGAAATGGTCGAAAACCCGAGGAACGGCATCCTCTTCTCTCCCTCTCATTTCAAATGTGAGTGGTTGCCAACGGCTATTGGCGGCGTGGCCTGCAACAACTTGTTTTTTGTTCTCACACTACTAGTTTTCGGAAGCGAAAGGCAAACTAGTAAGATTTCAACGCAAGTCGGCTTGAAATGAAAGGACTTCTGGGAAGGAAATTACGCAACACGTTCAATTACGGTATGCCTGAATCCTTCTTCGTTATATTCTTTTTCGAACCTTCGCTTTTGATGAGCGGCTTAGTGCCGCGAAAGCGTTTTCCTGTTGCCTCCTCTATCCTCTCCACTATTCATAATTCGCTTCCATAAGCATCAATTTCAACGCGTGTTTGCTTTGATCAGCTGCAACTCACACACCTTGAAAGTGAGCTGTGCTGCAAGCTTCTTCGCTTCTTCATTACTCTTTTTAGCGTCTTCCGTGAGAGATTTCAAGGCATCCTTCATGCATGCTCCACATTCCTTGCACTTCCACTCCAGACTTCTGAAATCTTTCTTTGCGCCAATAAATTACTAATATTCAGTATAGACTTGAATATAAGGGAGCTTAAGGAAGCGACGATAAAAAGGAAACAGTTTTCAAAATTTATTAAACGGAGGCGACGCTTTCTTAACTGATGTGTTCCTAATGGAAGTCTGTTGACAGCATTTTTGCTACTCCTGTGTAAACGATGGAAAGGTTCAATTAAGTTGGTCCAATGACACCAGCTCACTGTTATCGTATGAGATAAATACATGTTTCCCACAAACCGTTGAAAAAATACATAAAAAAGAGAAAGCTCACTTTTTCGCTAGTTTTCTTCTTTCCGCTACAGGGTATTCGAGACTACCGAGCGCACCTGCTCCAGCTGTTGGCATAAACCCAATCAACGCAAGCAAAGCAGTCCGAACTAAAATCGTGATCTGTATGGTCTCAGTGAACATGTAAACCGTAAAAGAACACTAACTGGACCAGGAAGGAAGCCACGTTTCCGGATGGTACCCAGAAATGGAGAGGCAGATCTTTTTATTCAGTTCAAATCGTCCATTGGGCTGAATATATCATTTGGAGTGCATACTATACAGTTCAATTCTAGTATGAATTACACTAGAATATGGTTCAACTAAACTCTACCGTCAGAATAACGACATTTGGTGGTTTCATCGGATATTCAGGCGGGAAGAGAATTCGTCCGTGGTAAATTCCTCCGTCGAAATCCGATTCCAGTGGTCCTCGTACGGTGAAGTGCCATTCAAAAAGATTATCCTAAATATCACGAGTGCATTTCAAAAAGATTATCCAAAGGACAGCGAGCGAGCGTGCTTTCAACTGTACTAAAAAACGAGTTACAAAGCGCAAAGGGCTTTACTTCTAAAAGATTAGGAAATTGATTCGAAGCCGTAACTCATACGCAGCGCTCACGAAATCGGTATTCACGATAATCAGTTATCAAACTTCCTTCTTTACTTAGAATTGTTCATAGTTCATAGTCGGTGTATGCGAGACGACCGCTCAGTGAGCGAAGCAAACCAAATTAATACGTATGAAATACTTGCCATGCACCTGCTACCCCATTTAGCTAATCGGCTAGGACAGAGATGTTGGAGTCCGAGTTTACGGACGCATTTGCACATGGAAATCGCGACAGCAAACGCGGAATCTGACACCTAATCACCTGAACGCATTGTGGGTCTGGAACTATGAACGCTGCCTTATAAAATCAGTGAGACTTTGAAGATCTGGTGGAATTTGTAGTATCGTCGATCAAGTTACAGGGACGCCGCTACCACCTTACCCACTAGTCAGATCAGTAGAATGAGCCCTCCCTAATCTCCATTCCGTCAAATGAACCAACACTCCTCGGGGCCGTGTCAGCCTAGAAATTCCGATTGCGGCAGTGCGCCGAAACTAGAGAGATCAGGAGAATCGGTGTGTAGTATTTCATGAATACTCAAGAAGAAACTCAATGAACTTTTAGGTCGTGGAGGGCATCTAACATTCAACTTTTCAAAAGTCGTTCGAGATTAGCCCGGAAGTCTTTGCTCGCTATATTGAAAAAGAGCTTTGGAGTGAAACGTTTCCTATTTCATATGGGCCTCATCTCAGATCCAATAAATATATGATATTAACGCCTTCAATCAACATACGAACGAAGGGCTAATCGGGATCAATTGTTAGCCGAGGGAACCTTATTTGACACACTGGGGGGGAGGGGGGAGGAGGGGTACTGAAACAGTCCATGTTGAGAGATTTGAAAGAGTGATGCACACAATATTTGGGATTTTTGGAACCTAGCAGTTTATAAACCCTTTCTTCATTCACGCAACCCAATCGCGGTTTCACTAGGCTCAAGGAGCACCGCAAGATAATAGTGCTGGAAACACTTTTTTTGTGGAACCCTTTCCTTGAACTGATCGTTTCTGGTTCAGTGCTTGTGTATGAGAGGATTATAGAAGTGCGAACGCATGGCATATAAGTGGAGCTAAGCATAAGTGAATTATTATCCACGCTGTAAACATTACAATGCTATTTAAAAGCTGTCAACCTTGGTTTGCTAAGATCGAAAGCAAAAGCGCGAGCGCCGACACGGAGCTGATACCAAATTCGTGAGGAAATGTATGTGCATTGCCATAAAGCAAACTTGAGGCAAATACAAACTCTAACCATGCCGAGACCGCAAGACAACATTACCTCTAGTGGTTGTGCAAAGTACATTTCTGTAGGCTCGCGTAATTCCAGCGCTTCCTTCATCAATCGTTTCACTCCTGAAATCAGATTACCGCTATGAGTTAATACGTTCAAAGAACGAAATAGGAGGCTGACTGAAAGGCAAATCGAAATGATTGACATCTCACCGGCACTTTTCGTGTTATACTGCTCCATGACGCTTGAGTGAAGGTCCTTGAATACGAGCGATAACTTAGGGATAATTTGAAAGAAAAGAAGTGCAAAACGCACAATTTGCAGACTGCCTACTTTGTTATTAAAACCTGCGCGCAACTGGCTGCTACCAGCTGCTGCTTCTACAGCAACCTTGCAATGCTTACGGAAAATCTAGCCATGCCCATTTTGCTGTTATTTAAATCACATCATCAATTCAATCTTTGTCGCTTTTTCGTCTGGAGAAGACCTATTGCTTCAAAAGACAAGAAGACAAGGTTGATTACAGTCGATATCCGAAAGTTGGGGTAGGTGTGTCACCGGAAGTGACGTGCACTTGATAGAAGTTGCGTGGATAAGCTGTTGCCAGCATGCTTTGCTGATATCCAGCGATGTATGTTGGAAGCAGCTTATCCACATACTTCTATCAAGTGCACGTCACTTCCGGTGACACCTACCCCAACTATCAGGGGCCGTATGCTATGCTCCCCCAACAGGGGAGGGGTCCCCGTCCCGGTATGCTATGCTCCCCCCGACAGTTCTCGGGGAGAGGCCACGCCCACCGATAGCCGGGGATATCTCCCCTATCGCCTGCCGATCGGGGCTAGCCGGGGATACCGTAATTTCGTAGCCGCCGTACGCATAATTGACTGTCGCGCGCACAATTCTTCTATGGGTTGCGTACTGCAGTTTTAAGAATTGCTTATTTGTGAGTACATCACTACAAATATGATGTGCAGAATAAGGTTTAGTGTCGGACACCCTTAATCAACCCCACCAAACTTTTTTTCAAATGATTTGGTCACGTTCGATCCCATGATTGTTATTTATAGCATCTTAAACAAAGATTTGGATGCTATGTTATATTTTTTACATTTTGCAGATTTTTAAGCTTCGTACTTGAGATTGTGAGCTATTACATTACGTGACACTATTTACCGTTTAGTTGGAGGCAGCCTGATGTAGCTGTTTTCCATCGATCAGCTAACTATATTTTATCGAAGATAGAACCAGAGATTTTTTCACATGAAAAATATTGGCTATCGAAGCCACTTGACTTATTCACAAACGTGAACGCAGTATTTAATTTCGTAGCCGCCGTACGCATAATTGACTGTCGCGCGCACAATTCTTCTATGGGTTGCGTACTGCAGTTTTAAGAATTGCTTATTTGTGAGTACATCACTACAAATATGATGTGCAGAATAAGGTTTAGTGTCGGACACCCTTAATCAACCCCCACCAAACTTTTTTCAAATGATTTGGTCACGTTCGATCCATGATTGTTATTTATAGCATCTTAAACAAAGATTTGGATGCTATGTTATATTTTTTACATTTTGCAGATTTTTAGGCTTCGTACTTGAGATTGTGAGCTATTACATTACGTGACACTATTTACCGTTTAGTTGGAGGCAGCCTGATGTAGCTGTTTTCCATCGATCAGCTATTTTATCGAAGATAGAACCAGAGATTTTTTCACACATGAAAAATATTGGCTATCGAAGCCACTTGACTTATTCACAAACGTGAACGCAGTATTTAATTTCTACTGATCATATCGCACTGACACAATTCTTATACGTAGAAAATAAAGGCAGTATCAAATGTCTTGCCAACCAACCATAATTAAGAAAACTTGAACGCAATATTAAAGGCAAATCGCACTCTGCGCTGGGAAAAGGGGAATTGGAAGGATGAAACCGCGGGTTTTCCCAATTACAGAATGAGCTCCTAAAAACCTGTTAACTTTGAATTGAGATACTGTGTGCAGGCTTAAATATGCGATAAAAGGAACAAGTACAATACAATAAATGTTCCATTGCAGCTGGCGTCCACAGTTGGGGAGATTGAAGGACTAATTTATGTACAAGCTGACTCCAATCATGAGTTAGGCCCTTCTCCTCCTCTAATACTCGTTTTTGTTTCGAGTTAGATCTCTAATTTGTTGAAGCATTTCCATTGGATTTCTTTTGCGGAACATGTTCGTAATGCTTGTAGGAAGCAAGTAAGAATCATACCTATATTTAATACAAGGAGGTACTTGCTCGCTGAATGAAGCAATCAGCAGCGGGGAAATCTTTGTTTAAGTTCATCGCAAAATTAGATTGTTAGAAGATTATCTGCTTTTATTCTGACCACAGCAAGTTTTCGAGTTCTTCAAGATAAATCTCTGGCTAATCTAATACATTTATAGAATGATGTATAGAATGATCTTCTTCGGATCATTACCAACTTGGAGCGTGAAATGAGGTGGCTGATTAACTCCTTAAACATTCTCAGTAAATGAAGTAAACGATATACGTCAAATTGAGCATTATTAAAACGCTTCAGTTGCTCTATGGAAGACAATGCTGATCATAGTCATAATATAGTGGACATCAAAGAATTCTAATGGTTTTCGCCTTAACTTTCGAGGTAACATTGCTAATCTTCGATCCTGAGTATCCTATCCTGCATATGCACCCTAAAACTTTATAATTAGTAGCTTTTTAAGCCTAAAACTAATGTCTGGCAAGATGCCAAGTTCTTCGCGCCATGGATACTCTGCATGTCTGCATCCCCTGGGGAGCCCCGCGAGCATAGCATACGGCCGCTTTCGGGGGGCGGCCGCAGCCGGGGAGCCCCCCAATAGGGGGCCCCTCCCTTGTTGGGGGAGCATAGCATACGGCCCCAGATATCGAGTATACATTCAGTCCAAATGGTACTTATCACAAAGCGACGGGCCGTTAAGTTTATGAAGTTTCGGTGCTATACAGGTAGGGTGAGCAAGAGCCCGCTAATATACTGTCACGAAAACCGAAGAATTCGTGAGCCAGGGGAGTGTAGCCAATCTAGGGGGTTGGGGGAAGTGAGAGCAGTCACTTAACATGCGTGAAAACTTGGGCATGCCTACCCCACTTGTATAGAGCCGAAGTTTCCCATCGAAGCTGAGCCAGTTTCCTACTTGAAGATAATAGCGAGGCAAGAAACCCAACTGAACTCCCAATCCACAAAAATGGGTCATTAACTTCATTATTTTATCTTAATTAACAGACTTTTCGATGGAAAGGAAGTAATTTAATATTCGCCAGGAAAAGCTAAGGTAGATCAAAATCACAAAATGGCCAAAGCTGTTGAAAGCTTTCGCAATTGAGTGGCTAAAGGCAAGCCATCCTATGGATAAAACTCCGAAGGTTAATCGGCAGATTACGGTACTTGAAGAAGTCTGCACTGTTTCTGAACCAAGCACTATGCCACCGTATCCCGTACAATAATGGAACGTCGTGCTTCCCTGTATTAACGGTTGTGCGTTGCATTGTTGATCGGTTTCTCTTAGGTTATGCTTAATCGAGACAACGTGACCTGATTTGGAGGGGGGAGAGAGGCATCGCCCGAAGTGTTCAGAACCACGACAAACATTCATTTTCATACTCCCTATGTTACCTTCATGCGCAAGCCATGTGTTCCATCAACTGAAAGCTTGCTTCTCTTGTGCCGCAATGCCCCACCTCCCCTCCCGTCTGGGGCCGCGGTTATTTACTTGAACCAACGTTCTGCACAACCAACTGAAGCAACTGTCGCATCTGTTCTTATAAGGTGGGGGCGTTTCGGTGCATGAACCACTCTAGTCCTACTTTGCTCAAACGGTCTTCAAGAGTTTTGAACTGCTAGTGTCTTTTTTTCGTACGCCATTTTCTGAACATTGTTTATTGTCTATCAAACCAGAATTGGGGAACTCTGGAGGGAATTGGAAATTATCTCCCCCAGAGGCTCAGTCCGGGAAGTCGCTTTGACAGAAAGCGAATTCCTCGCCTGTGCACCACAATGCCGTTACCTTGTTGGAAAAGAACCCAAACGTCTTTCGATAGTGGGCTTTTTTCACTAACGAATAGCACACCATCGTTGTTTGGTCGCAGACTGGCTTGCATGTGATGTGAAATGAAACTGAAATAAAAAGAATACGCTACCGATAGAGTAGTGTAGGAAATCGGTTTTTCATGATTTATTACAAACCATTGCACAGGTTTTGTGCAACAAATTTTTGCGGGAGCTTTGGATTTGCTAGTTCATAATATCGCGTTGGTCAACATCTATGTGCTTATATTATGACTCGTTGCTTAAAGATTGTATAACACTCGCTGATTCTATTATGAGAGGTGGGTTCGATGTTCGATGAAGGATGAGTCATTCCCGCTGTTCTTCTCAATAACTCTATTTTTCTGAATGTGCGAAACCCTGTCCATTTTATTGTTAATTTATTGTTATTTTATTGTTTTATTTTATTGTCGATTTTTTTATTGTCGTAAATTCTATTTGGATTATTAATTGGAAAGAGAGCTGCCTATTTCGAGACTCTCACAATTTATTTACTCTTTTGCGAGTGAAAGAGAAGCTTCTATACTTTTCTAGTTTCTCATGCAGCATTGCAGATCGTCAGAATGGAGACAGTGCCCGATATGGATGCTTTGCTAGATGAACTTGAAGAGGCAGTGGTTGGGAACAGACGAAAGGAATCGAAGATTCCGGAAAATAACGCCAACCAAGCCGTGGTAATTGAGCTTCCCATCCATCTCCGAAAATTGTCTGAGAAGGTTTGTGGAGCTGAATTGATTTTGGGTATCCAGCAAGGCGGGGATGTGGTGCGACAGTTCATATCACCCATAGTAATCCAGTTTTTTTTTTCGCAAGGGAGGGAAGCTGCGGAGTGAGTGTAGGAGCGGAAACGACATGGGGTGTGGGTACTTAGGACAGAACGCGACTTTTTCGCTCTTCGCAACGCGACATCGCGCGGCAGGCTGGCGCACCCGTAGCGAAAACAACTACGGTATATAAGAACGCGCGATTGGAGCAGCTTTTTTGCATGCGTGAATTTGTAAGTTTCACACCCATTGTATTGATAAATGCGGTGAATCACTAATTCTGTCTCATTATTGAAAACGTTTTGTGACTTACACGATTCCGGGCGATGCCACACAAATGGTGTTTTACGAATTATCGGTGAACGAGGGTTTAATAGTGTCGCTTGTGCTTGCATTTTGTGGGTTCATATTGTTGTATAGACATCTGCATAAGGGTATAACATCTTTTACGGAACGCTTCCGTCCTCATCA